CTGCTCTCAATTGGAAAAGCATAACTCTCCCAGATGTGAAAGTCTTATCCACACACCCTCCCCCCCGCTCCGCATAAGCAGAGGAATGAATCAGTTTCTCTTTCTGTGCATGTGTCTCTGTGTCTCTGGCTCTCTCTGGTGCGTGCCACATACTGCGGATGGACAAAATCCTGCACCACTGAGAAACACGGGGAAATCGGTCTTTGTTGCTACTTACAGAGAAATCATCAGAAGCCAGGGGTTCTGAACGGCGGGATAAGCGGATTTCGCAACCATCCACAGGCACCTGGCAAAAGACAGGGCACCTGAGCGACCAAATTGGCTGGCTAACTCCCTGAATGTTGCATAGCTTCGGTCGGACGAGAACCGGTGCTTCCAACGTACGAATTTCGACCAGCAGTGGGCACCTGGCCCACCCCATCAGTGGACCAAATCTCCTTGCCCCCCGCTGGCACTTTCCGCGCTTTCCACGCCCGGCGGCACCGGTCCCCGGCGAGGCCAATGCCTCTGCAACCGCTGCTCGCCTCGAAGGAGCGGAACTCCGAGCTCGGAGGGGGAGACTTCTCTTGGCTTTTTGGAAAACCCGCGCCCTGAGAAAGACCGCACATGTGAGCATCCGGCAAAATCTTCGGTAGTATTCAGTAGTATGCGGGCCGCCGTGGGGTCACCCAAAGTAGCCAAGGACTGCAAAACCGATAGGGGCCCACCCAAAACCGATACCCCTGATTATTTGAAAGGGTTAACATACACATATTACACATAATGTTGAAGGACGATAAATTTTGAGGCTGCAGTGACTTTGCAGCAACTGGCCCGAGATTTGTACTTTGCAGCAGCTGGCTCGAGTTGAAGTACATTGAACATAGGTTCCCATTGCGTTTCCTTTGTGCTAGCAGCCCCTCATGTTTGTGAACTCTCAACAAAGACTTCTCTTAAACCCGCAAACGTCTGCCCGCCCGACCGATGCCCCCGACCGATACGCCGACCGATACACCTTTCTTTACGAAACCTGCGCTGCGTGAGAAGGAGCCCTTTCGAGCCATGAGCGAGCGTGTACTCGAAGATGGAGCTTGTACTAGACTTGTACTACAAAGTTGCGATTTTCGAGCTGGAGCTGCGGATGTGTACTTCGCGTACTAGACTTGTACTACAAAGTTGCGATTTTCGAGCTGGAGCTGCGGAAGTGTACTTCGCGTACTAGACTTGTACTACAAAGTTGCGATTTTCGAGCTGGAGCTGCGGAAGTGTACTTCGCGTACTAGACTTGTACTACAAAGTTGCGATTTTCGAGCTGGAGCTGCGGAAGTGTACTTCGCGTACTAGACTTGTACTACAAAGTTGCGATTTTCGAGCTGGAGCTGCGGAAGTGTACTTCGCGTACTAGACTTGTACTACAAAGTTGAGATTTTCGAGCTGGAGCTGCGGAAGTGTACTTCGCGTACTACACTTGCACTACAAAGTTGCGTTTTTTTTAGCTGGACCTCCAAACACTGCATAACCGATAGGGGCCCACCCAAATTATCAATGGCATTCAAGTTATCAAGAGATTTCGTCCGCAACTCATATATGTGTGTATGTATTTATATATATATATGTATACATATATATATTTATATATCTGTATTTGTTGGTTTATTGGTTTGTTTATTTATGTAGCTGTTTATTCAAAGAAAGTGTTTATTATTATTTGGGTTTATCATTGTCTTTATTTGCTTATTTAGTTCCCTTTTTATTTATGCATTGGTTTGTTTATTTATTCATTCAGTTATTATGGTTTAGTTTGTCATTTAGTTATTGATTTGTCTGTAAATATATTGTTCATATGTATCTTATATATATAGCGGTCATTTATCAAGAAAGCAGGAAAGGTAGTTCATGGGGGGGGGCTGACCACATATATATGTGTATATATATATATATATATATATATACATATGTATATGTATGTATTTATGTATATCAGGGGCACCTTTCTGGAAGCCCAGGCTTCGGCACGTAGCTTGATGCTTGTCCAATGCCTGGCAAATGAAGAAAAGCTCCGGTCAAAGCCCCACCGAGTTCCATTTGCTTGGGGAGCCCCCGTTCTTTTTCGCAGCTTGGGTGGGAACACCACCATTTTCTCCCATTTGCTGAAATGATGTTGTTTTTTGCATATGTTCCTGATTGGTTTTAAAGGGAATCTATCACTATTGGACGTATACATTTTTCCCCAGAAAACTTCAGCAAATGGAAGCACACCATGTGGCTCACTTTTTGTCCCATGTCCTTTACGGGGACGTAGTTGGACCGTGACTCATGCACGGTCATACATCCGTTTTGAGATTCTACACATCTTCCGAGCTTGTCTGTAGCTTCGAGTTAATGGGGAACAAATGGTCACAACGTTGGGCCTTGAATCACTTTCATGGGATCCCGCATCAAATTGAATAGACTTTTCAAATGTGTAGTTCAGCTGGGCATCAACTTGAGGGGCTGGGCAGGCGAGATTCAACTACAGAAGAAGAAATGGCAGAAGCCATGGTTTCTTGAATTCGTTTGTTCAAAGGCTTGAGCATTGGAAAGCAGCCATGTGCAGAGGGTCCCTTGGTGCCCTTGGGTGTTTCAAGGGTTCTGGGATACTTCACGGTCATTCCCGGCATCGCGTTCGCCAGGAACCGGCATTTCAACAATTCCGACTCGGATTGGGACTGAGATGTAGCTGGCTTCCGAAGGTCGGAACTATGGCGCCAAAGCGGGGATCAAAGAAAGATGGTCGCCTCAAGGTATGCTCAAGGACTGTCGTGTACCCTTTTGGACTCATCCTGAATGGTTCCAGATACCCTTTTGCCAAAAAGCGGCATGTGTTTCCGGTCAATCAATCGAAACGCCGTGGGGATGCAACCGAAAAGAGGTACATGTGTGCGCCTCTGGCAAAGCACCAGAGTTGCGGCCGTCTAAACTGTACATAGTGATGCGGCCGGATGGCCACAACCGCCTGCCAGACACGTCAATGCGGAAAAGGCCTTGCTGCTTTCCAGCATTCGTCAGATTCCAGTCCCTTTGCCTGGTGCGTGGAATTGTTGTAGTGAAGGATATGATGGACTGTGTGGCTATGAGTTGTGCTAGGGAACACCCTCAAAAACGTTTGGTGGACATGCCCACGTATTAGATGTCCACCGAAGAGTCAAAGTTCGTACCCGTTTCGAGGATTACAGGCAATGCTGACCATTGCGGGATCAAAGAAAAAGTTTTGTTTGAACAGCGACACGCAGAGAGAGAGAGAGAGAGACAGAGAGATCGTCAACAGTTGGCTGATTTCCCAGCAACCAGGCAGATCCCATCTTGCAGCTGTGTGTCTCACCTGCGGAGAAGCTGACATTCAGAAGTTGTGAAGCCCTGTTAGAGCTGTTTCACAACAATTCGGAGGGACTCAAGCTCACAAGACATGCATGTACATGCATATGAGGCGCTAAATGACTACCCATATGACTGTCCTTGATGATTATGTTGCTCAATAGTACTACCCAGCAACCCCATTCCAATTATCCAAGATGCCTCATATTGCACAAACGCGCGCACGGCACCGCCCGTGCATGTCAAAGTGGCGTAAATATCAGAAGTTGCAAACCCTTCGGCTGAGATCCAGTGACAGTGACCCCTGT